TTACAGAACTTCAAGGTTAGTTCAAATTAAAGTAAGCTAATTCACTTTTTTGTGTAGAAAGACGATTAGACAAACGTAAAGGGACGTTCTAACCCGTATTATTAATTTTAATGTATGCACAGGTCAACTAATTGATTAACACTAATTCGACCACATTGATTGGTGGAATATATATGATCATATAGGGATTCCTCATATGACCCATTTGGAGGAACTACAATTGCAAGGCTTCTCAATGTCTGAAGACAGCACTTTGCTTCAAAGCCTTTCAACACTTCCTGCTCTTAAAATTTTGGGGTTTTCAGGATCTGACCTACATTCTCAAGGTAATGTACTTCATTACCATACCAATGAAATACTGAGTGATTTTGGATATTAATTATACTGACTGAATAAGAACATCATCTTTACATGAATAGGATGGCTGGTCAAGTTGGAAAAGTTGGAAAATCTGACCATATCTGATTCTATTGCACAAGGCAACTTCCTTGAGACCATTGGCACCATGATGACCAATCTTAAGAGTCTAATAATTGATGGTTTGTCTCTCAATTCGACTCTTCCTCAAGGTACGTACTCTGATTTTATATATGTTTATGAAGTTTTTTTCTCTGCAGTCAGATTGGGGAATTTATTTTCTTTTGTGTCTGCATTAATGAATCTAGGTTTATGCAACTTGAAGGATATGGAAGTATTAGACCTCTCGAGTAGCAACTTGAGAGGTGAGCTACCGTGGTGCCTATCGAATTTTACTTCACTTCGAGTATTCGATATCTCTGGAAATCGAGTGTCAGGAGATATCGCCCAGTCTCCTCTTACGACGCTCTTCTCCCTCGAGAAGATCGACGTTTCTGGTAACGATTTCCGAATCCCGCTTTCCCTCTCCCCATTTTTCAATCATTCCCACCTCCAGTTCTTTGGTGGGTATGACATTCAAGAGATATATGGAGACCATCATATCAAACAACAGCAACATGGTGCACCACCATTGCTACCACCTCTGTTCCAACTGGAAGTACTGGGTTTGTCTTCAAGGTACGATGATGGTGAATATGTTGGCTCATTTCCCAACTTTCTCTACCATCAACGTAACCTAGAACATGTCTTCATATCGAACACCAGAATGAAGGGAGTTGGGTTTCCATGGTGGTTGTTGGATAACAACACCAACTTAGTAGAGCTCAGTTTGGTCAATTGTTCACTTTCAGGGCCTTTCGAACTGCCAATCAATCTCCATCCCCATGGAAGACTACAAGTATTAGATATATCCAGCAACAACTACATCCATGGCCCCATTCCTCCTCATCTTTGTGCATTCCTTCCCATGTTAGGATTGTTATACATTTCCGACAATCAGCTCTCTGATATTATCCCTGAAGAACTCTCAAACTGCTCCTTTTTAGAAGTCCTAGATGCCAGTAACAATCGTCTCTCGGGCGAGATTCCAGGACGAGTTTTCGATATGCCCGAGCTCTCCCTCCTCGACTTGTCGAGGAATAATATCACTGGAAGTTTGCCACTAGGTTTCATTTCTCCATGGATATCTGAAGTTTACTTGTCGAGAAATCGACTGCGAGGAACCTTATCATCACATGGAGCAGAGCCTGGGAATTATATGTTGGAAGTCTTGGATCTTAGCCACAATAACTTCGAGGGTGCCATACCCAAATGGATTGCAGGATTCCGTCAGTTAACCTATCTCTTGTTGAACAACAACCGGTTTACAGGTGAAGTTATGATGGCTTTTTGCTTGGAGCAGTTGAGGTTGATTGATGTTTCTCATAATCACCTGTCTGGTCACCTTGCCTCTGCATTCACATCCAAAACCAGTTGTGGTGATAGAATGAACTACATCTCCCCTTCTCGAAGTCTTGAATTCGTCAGCAAAACACATTTGTATACTTATAATGGTGTGCCCCTTGACTTGATGTGTGGCATGGATTTCTCAAGCAACAGTTTTGCTGGGGAGATCCCTCTGCAGATCGGTAGCGACCTCATCGAAATCAAAGTGCTCAACTTATCATACAACAAGCTGACGGGATCGATCCCTTCCACTCTGTCAAACCTGCAACAGATCGAGAGTTTGGATCTTTCGAACAACAATCTCAGTGGGGTGATTCCGCCTCAACTCACCGAGCTAAGTTATCTTGCATCTTTCAGTGTGGCATACAACAATTTGTCTGGCAACTGTCCTAAACAGACTGCACAGTTCATTACTTTTGATGAAAGCAGCTATCGAGGAAATCCTTTCCTTTGCTGCACTTTCCCTATACGACCAGAAGAACAATTACCAGGAAGAAGGGGTTCTTATGACAAAGATGACGATGGTGATGGAGGAGGTTTTGTTGATATGGAGACGTTCTATATAACTAGTGGAGTGACTTATGTTATGATATTGTTGATAATTGCTAGTGTTTTGTATATAAATCCGAACTGGCGACGAGTATGGTTCTACTATGTCGGAGTCACCATTACTAGTTGCCATCATTTTACGGCGAACAATCTTCCTGTGTCGACCGAGTACAAAATGTGGAAGTTTCGTGCATAGTAGTATTGAAGTTCTTTCATTTTAAGTCTTTTTATAGTGGAATTCCGTGTAACCGTCATTATATTTTCTGGTATGGAATCAAGTTGACTATGTCATTTGTCAACTAGGTTAACCGATGGTTACTAACCGGCTAGCATTCGATAAGAGAATTTCTTGTTCCGCCAACAGCGCCATTAACCGGTAAATCGTTTAAAATTCCTCGTTTTTGTGTGATCTTTTGGCTTGTACATAGAGGTCATCTGTTAGACCTTGACGCTTTTTCTATTTGTTTAACATACTCATAGTCATACATTGATCGCTTGCTCATGTATGACTCTATTGACGGCTTCGTAGTCCATTCGAGCAAATAGTGAAGAGCACATAGAAGATAGAAACATGATGATTCCATGTATTTGAGGGTCCATAAGCTGACACCAAATCAATGCATCGTTAAATGGGTAGTAATGGAATGGTGAAGATTTCTGATTATGTGTGGAATATTGGTGAGATGCTCTTATCTTCTCCAAGAGGAATTTTAGAAAGAAATGTACTTTCCAATTGATGAATTATTATGAATTTACGATAATAACAAGTCAAACAACAATGCACACTCAGAAGACCATGCAAATGCAAAAGAAGAGATGAAAAATCGTGGCTTCATAGAGACTACTCCCAAACTTTGCCTTTTCTTTCTATGGAATTCCATCCTTTGGGTTAGAGGCCGACCCAAGTGATTCTAAATTCCAAAAGCTTTAAATAATACCATGTTAAGAATCAATATATCATTCATTTACATTACTACTGGTTCATATTTAGCTTGGATTATCATTCAAGTAATAATAGGGCTCTATTATATACTTTACTCTAATATAAACCACATCTCTAGCAATGTGATTAATGTATCCCATAGTTAACCTTCTCCGAATTATGAGATCGAACGGTTTAAAACATGGTATTAGAGCTGATTTTGTCAAGTGATCGTGTGTTTGAAATTTGAATCTCCATGACCGTCAATATTAACAGTTGATCTAAGCATAACATATGGTTAGACCTGTGCAAGCCCTTTATATGAGGGGATGTATAAGAAAGTTGTATAATGTAGGAAACCTATTTTTAGGGTTCCAACGATTGTGTTGGGAAATTGGGAATTGGTAGAGATTTAGGGATTTAGAAGAGAATTAGGGATTAGGAACAGAATTGGGGAAGAACAGAAAGAACGGCCGAGGCCTCTAGAGAGGAGGATAAACGAGATTTGAGAGAGAAAGAGATTAGGGTTTTGGGGAAGGATGACTTTTCTATTAATTTCTGCTTAATATGACGAATGACCCAAAATACATATATATAGGGAAATACTAGAAAACCCTAATAATAAACCTAATTCTACTAGAAGACTACTTACCATAATAAGAATTATCCTAATAATGATTATAATAATAATATAGAAAAATCGTGTTTCCCACATCTCCTCCCCCTTCAGACCAACCTTGCCCTCAAGGTTGACTGACTTGACCCATTTCTTCCAATCTTCTCGCCCAATCCAATCATCGCTTCTCCGCTGCTTGCGCTTCCTTTTCTTCCAATCATGCCCCACTCCTCGTCTTGGCCTTCTTTCTTCAAACTCCTGGTGTCGCGGTAAAGTGGCACCCTCGAACTTAAATAATTCTGTGGTCAATGTCCTCCAGAGATTCAAGGAATTCAAGGATTTATTCTTGTTCAAGAATGCATCATTAAAAACCAACTCATCCAAACCTTCATACATTTTCCTTGAAGCTAGCCCATATATTGTTTCTCCAATTGCTTTTGGGCTCTGCTCTCTTAAGAACCCACCTTCTATTCCTTGCAGCTCATCTCCTTGTTTTTTAAAATTCAACCCATTCAAGCATAATCCAAGAAGATAGCCCATTTTGGGTCCAAACTTGCCCAGTGAACTCGGCACATAAATATATTGGAACTCTTTTAATTGCTCCTGTCTTGGCCCATGACCAAGGTTGCTCTCTACCCACTCCCTTCTCGGCTCCAGCTCACTCTTCAGGCCATCAACAAACACGGCCCAACTCCATTGGCCGGCCAAACCCAAACGGTGGCCCATACTCCTTACATTCGTCTTCCCCTTCTGGTCCACGTGCACAAGCCCATCAAAACAACAGGCCAAATTCATTCGGCCCATGATTGGTGGGTTAGGGTTCGTGCGAAGAGGAAATCCGCCGCCCACCTTCTCCCACGGCAGCAGCCGCTCCTTCGGCTCTTCTCTTGGTGCCGATAGCTTCTTCTCCTCCACTTCCTTCTCCGGCGTCCAACGATCCTCCCGACGGCCCGACGGTCTGCTCTCAACCGCCGCAGTTCTCAGCTTTGCCTCCTCCTCCTCTTCCGACGATCCATCCACCATGTCGGGGAAGGGCGATCCCGCTTCCGACCCCCAATCCGACACCATTCCCGGCGGCAAGCAACTCAGCCCGCGGTGAAGAGTCGAACCGGATTCTGGCCTTCGAGGTTGCCTCTCCCCGCCGTTCGACGCGACATCCGATGCCGCCAGCAGCCGTATGATCATCCCCGCCGCTCTGGTCCCGGATTCCGCCTGCTTGGGCCTCGTCACCGCGACTGGAGCTATCGGCGAGTTACCCCGGCGATCCATCATCGTCGTCTGCTCCTGCGGCGCCCAGCAACTCATCCGGAGGATGATCTCGCGACGCTCGACTTTGGCCCCAGCTTCTCGCTCCACATCGCCTCGAAGGGAGTTGCTCGCTGCATCGTTGAGGCAATTCGCGTGGCTGACGAAGACCCGGCGAGCTTGCTCCCCTGCTGCTTCTCTTCGTCGATTGTTGTCGGCGCTAAGCTCAGACCACATCGAGCGGATCTCGGAACTGCTGATCGCCTCTGCAATCATGAGAGGCGGCGAGTTCGATGCGGGTGTAGAAGGATCCCTGTAATTTTGCTCTGGCTTTACATCCTTCAGCAGCTCCCGCCTTTGTCTCTTCTTCTTGAATTTCCAGCCATCAATTGGAGTTGTTCCGGAGTTTACCTCCTCCAATTCCAGATCTGCTGCAGGCTCCTCATCTCTCACCTCTTCACTCCTGACCGAGAGAATTGCTATTTTTGGGGATTCAGTGGAGGTGGCTGGTGTTGGTGGTGATGGCAGGATTGGGTCCATGACAACTTTCCGTACTGCGATAGCTGTCATTGTCATTGGGATAATGACAGTGGTTGATGGTGCCTTATGTTCATCCCGTCCAGAATGCTGCGGTTCTGTCACGGTGACGGTGACGGCTATGGCTATTGCGGCTGGTGTCTCCTCAACGGCCAGCTGCTCTTCGACTTGAGCCTTGCAGCGGAGAGTGCCCAGGGAGGACAATCCAGCCACCGAGTGCAGCGAGAGAGTCGGCGCTGGTTCGCTGGGTGCGCGCTTCTTGCCGGCGTCAACTACCGCGGCGCGCTGCTCGGATCGCCGCTCACCATCACACGGGTTTGCCTCGACCGGCGGTGGTGGGCGCTCGCTGTCGGCTACTCGGGTCACCGTCTCTGCTTGCACGGTTGGCGACTCTTCGGAGCTCCAACGGCGTCCGATGCGGCGAGCCCGGTCACGCAGCTCTGCCCACGACAGGTTCGAGAGCTTTGAAGAGCTCATCGTCGAACAAGTTGTAGAACTCGCCCCCGGTTGAGAGTTGTGGTGAACTCAATTCTCGAAACCGGGCTCTGATACCAGATGTAGGAAACCTATTTTTAGGGTTCCAACGATTGTGTTGGGAAATTGGGAATTGGTAGAGATTTAGGGATTTAGAAGAGAATTAGGGATTAGGAACAGAATTGGGGAAGAACAGAAAGAACGGCCGAGGCCTCTAGAGAGGAGGATAAACGAGATTTGAGAGAGAAAGAGATTAGGATTTTGGGGAAGGATGACTTTTCTATTAATTTCTGCTTAATATGACGAATGACCCAAAATACATATATATAGGGAAATACTAGAAAACCCTAATAATAAACCTAATTCTACTAGAAGACTACTTACCATAATAAGAATTATCCTAATAATGATTATAATAATAATATAGAAAAATCGTGTTTCCCACATATAAGGTCCATAAATTTACGCTCTCCGAATAAATCGAGTTATTGAGAGCAAACAATTTATGAAAATTAACGATACCTACCACAACTCATTTCCCATATTCTCTATAAGCATCTCTAGGATTTGAGCTAGCTATACACAGCTCTAAGGTTCCCCTTTGAATTGCAGGAGAATCAAGACCACATAAAAGAAATACTTTGAAGAACCCAAAAGGCTGAAAGAAGAACCAACACACATTTTTCTTTGTATCAAGTTAAAGCATACCCAGAGAATCCAAATACTGCTTATAAAAAACCCACTACATCTAGCCAGCAATAACTCATCAGTGCATGTATGTAACTAAGAGAAACCCTAACAGAAAGCCATTATTCTTCAGACATAAAATAAATGGCGAAGAAGAAGAAGAAGAGAAAAGACAAGAAAGAAAGAAAATAATCCATTTCATAGCTAAGTGGGTGAATTACCCAAAAGGGAATTCAAGTGCACAATCATGGAAGTAAATTCATATTCTGAGCAGAGAAGTCAGTTTGGTGATTCTTCAGGAGAAACCTTACACCCGTAAATGTACCCATCACAAGCACCATAATCTCTATTAACCACAACGAATGAAACAGCCAAGTCTCTCCAGTAGTGAGGAGCCAACTTTACATTTGAACAGGGCAACTACAGATAAGTGCTATAGAAGCATATACTAAATCGGTGGCGACTTGACAGACATAAACCTTATAACAACCTGTCAGGAGTAGTTGCCGGACCGAGAACTACAATATGGTGCAGTAATGTTTTCAGAAGCAGCACTCCTCCATCACCCAACAGCAACAGACAGCAGCCAAACTGCACATTGCAAACAACATATCATCCAGTCAAAAAGTTCCACTATCTCAATCAAATTCCACCAGAATTATGATTGATATAAGACTAACTCTTATCTACTTAATTCATGATCTTTTTTCAATTGTTGATAAAACATCAAGTACGTGAGCAGGATGTTAGTGTACAATGCAGGGCAAACCAGAAATCACAGCTGTGAAGCACTCCAAGAGCTTCTCTCCATTACCAATGAGCCACTTCAGCTAAACTGAGCCTGACCAGAATTATATTAGTGAACCGTTGGGAATTTTTGATTAATTTCAGCTAGTAACTACGTCAGTTTGCGCTCTGTTTACTAGGAACCTAATGTCTCAAGAGAGAACCAGTGGCACCGCAAAGGGACCCTTTGATAATAATCTCATATATTTTGAGTGATATAACAAATGCCCTGTGCCATGCTCTTGGTTGTCAGAGAAAGAGAGTACTTGGCAACAAAAGGAGCAGAAAAGAGAGCTAAGAAGCGGAACAAAAAGATTGAATGCATCAAACCTACGCATATACTTTATCCCAATTGAGCTTGCACGTTATGCAACTTGCTTTGTAGTGCTCGATTGCCTATACTACAGCTCTTCTCCATCAGATCATCACTTAACAACACAGCAGAAGGCCACGATGATGCGCCATCACGTTTTGCAGGACCAATTTCTGCAGAGGGACCTAGTTATTAACATCTGGAGCTGTCTCACAAGAACTGATCTTTTGAGTCACAGAACGATCCTAAACACTACCCTTTTAACCACCTACCTAGTCCTCCCACGATCCAATCACTACCGTAATTCTAAAGTCAACCTCGCAAACATTTTGATAAGTCAACTTTCTGGATCAAGAAAAGGCAACCCTCAAAACCATTGACCGCAGAAATCATCCAGAGGATCAGCCCAAGTCACAATCGGCGAAAACCAAATTCAATCAAACCTTCCAATTTGAAGACAAACGTTATTTGGGGGGTGGGCGGAAAAAAAAAGGACGTACCAGCCGCGGAGGAACGAAGCTTCGGAATCGTCGTTATTATAGTGGTGGTGGTGGTGGTCATAGCTCTGGTAGTTCTGGTATTGATTGGGCGGAGGATGACGGGGCGGCGGCGGCTGCGCGGGATACCCCGGCGCGGAGAAATACCCTTGGTAGCCATCGTACCGGTGCTGATGCTGAGGTGGACGCGGTGGCGGGTACTGAGGAGGGTATCCGGGTCGGGGCGGCGGAGGCGGGTAGCCTTCGGTCTCGTACTGCGGTGGTGGATAGACTTGCGGCGGCGGGTACGGTGGCGCGTCCCCTGTTGATGGAAGAAGAAGAAAAAAAACCCATGTCAGGTTTAATGGAAGCTGGAAGATTACAAGGACGATAAAAATTGGGTGGGGAAAACAGAGGTATTGAATTCGATTTTACCGTGAGGAGCAGGAGGAGGATACGGATCGCTGGGGAACTTCTGGTAGCTCATTTCTCCGGCAATCGGAAACCAGATTTGCGATGAAGGAAAGAAAAGAGGGGAATTAGGTGGAGAAAAGGAGGATTGGCGCTGGTTTTAGATAGGACCAAGAATTTCATGGGCTTTTCGGGTGGGCTTCTTGCTCTCTGGCTTGGTAAGTGTGTTACAGGCCCATATAGAGAAGACTCAACTCCCAATATTCTAGAGTGTATATGAGTCGGATGGTTCGGATTTAGCCATTTTAATTACCCGACTCATGCACTATGGTTTGCGAAATATTAAATCCAAGTTCACCTAAAAAAATTTAAACCATACGGTTGTTTCTAATTGGGTTGGGTCGGGTTAGCGATATTTTTAAGTAAAAACCCAACCCAACACAAAATATATAATTATTCTACAGCATAAAAATATTTTATGACTAATTAAAATTTTAAACGAATAAACCAAGGTGAAAGGTATCAAAATTCACAAATATTGTTTGAATTTTTTTTAAAAAATTGCGATTTACTTCACCACGATATTTGTTGAAATAGGCTAAAAAGGTTATAAACGAACGAATACATAATATGTTATTCTATTAAAATTGTACGCAGGAAAAAGGGTTACGTGAATCATAGCTATATTCAATATATGTTTAAACTTTAAGTCGAAGAACGCATTAGATTAGGGAGACTATGAGAGAAAAATATGGTGAAATATCTTAATTTGCTCATAAGTATGGCTGTATACGACATAAATATTTTTTTAGATACGAGCTCATACTAATAGTTGGAACACGGGTTGAGTCGAATTCTACGGGTTGTATATTCCAAAATCCAAACTCAACCCAAAAAAAGCGGGTTATACAAAAGAAAACCCGGCCTCACCTATTCCAAAACCTTCGTTTTAGCGATAAATATGGGTGGATCTGATCGGATTAGACAAATTGATGGGATTGGACAAATTGCTCACCCTTAATTCCATCCACCAACAAAGAAGGAAAACGTTCGCATATAGAGAAAACTACTTATTTTGATAGACTTAGAATAGAATATTTGGCCTATGATATTTCTGCAATCACAAAAGGACATTAGTTCCCCTTTCTCAATTCGCCTCTTCCAATCTCCTTTTTAAATAATTGATGGAATGAATTCTGTGTGTGTACATGTTTCCTTTTCATGAACTGGGTGGTTGAGCTGAAATCCGAATTTTTGAATTCTCTAGGGTAGGGGTGGAAGTCTTCTTTGCATTGAGTTTGAAAAGATGCATTGGCAATAGATAATTGGATTCCAAAGGGGATAGAATAATCGTCTTTGTTTTTTTCTTCTTTGGTTGGAACAAGATACATGTGTACCCAAACTTAATTACGTACTAGCCAACCCGTTTAGGAATCGTTCTCGTATGTGTGTTCACGCTTTAGTTTAATTCAGTCTAGCTATTTGCTTTACCGATAACATTGAAAGGGACTTTTTCATATGTTTAGTAAAATCTCAATTTTTTTCATACAATCATCTCTTACTGTGGGTTGTTGGACATTTCCTAAGAAGAAAAAGAAAAATGTTTAGACATTAATTCACTATACAAAACTATGTCTTTTAAATAATCATAAATGATAAAGAAAAGGGTTTATGAGCTCATTATGATTAGGTAAAGTATTTCTTAATCTTCCTTTTTGTGTGTCTGTAAATAGCATGGTGTTAAATTAGACTCCAAATATTTCACAATTACAATTTTTTTTTAATCTTGTATACCAATAACGAGGCCAAACTCCACTATCTCATGACATTAATGGATGATATTAAAAATCTTTCAGTGAGAGCCCTTAGTTTCAACTCTCTATTTTTCTATCTAATTATGAAAAAAATATTTTATTTAAATATTCAACTTTAAATATTTTGATTTTTGGTTCCTTTTATTTGGAAGTATCTCCCTTTTGTAAATGCATGGGGAGCAAGGAATATATTATGAAGGATGTGTGTATGTGAAGCCCAATACTTGAGTTGAGATGTGCATATGAAAAGAGAGAAAAAGACTAAGGGGAAGGAAATTAAAAAGGGAGTAATTGTTGGGAGAGGGAATAAAATCTGTGCTTGCTAATGGGATGAAATTCCAAGGGCATCTAGCTAAGCTTCTGATGGTAAAGTTTCATCATGGGAGAGGCATGGTTGGTTGATACCATGACCTAACTTTTCATTCAATTGTGTATATACATTTGAGATATTCAAGCAAAGATGTTCATATAGTAATAGACCAACATGTACAAGATTAGACAGGTACTCCAAAAGAGGCAGGAAACCGTTTTATAGGGTCTCGGAGTGGGTTCGGCAACCTGAGTTGGCTGGTTAACCAAGACCAGAACTCATGTCGTGTCACCCCACTGAACCCACTTGAGGAATGAATAGTTGATGATCGATCGACATGTTTGATCTTGGTTGGGTCAGTTAGCTGGGAAGTCGTCTGCTGATGAGAATGAGAGGAGGGGGCACCAGTTTCGAAGAGAGGAGACTAATCGGTGTAGCTATGGAGGTTAGAACAAAAGCCGGTTGGAAGAAGGAAATGAGATGATCATTGAATTGAACAAATACTTTGAAATGAACGCTAGGTGTGGGTTTAGCTTGTTCTTCCCCCCTTCGATTTTCAGGCGAGAAGCATGAGTTTTTTTTCAAATAATGACGATTGTTGACGGTAAGGTTTGAATATAGAGCGTGATGATGAATATTGTAACTGACTCATGCGCCTCGAGTTTGACGCTCGATTGGACTGAATGACCAAGACATTCGAGTTCCGAATCGGTTCAACCGAGAACCCGAACCCGAACCCATTTCTCATGGAAGGTTGTGGTGGGGACAAAGATTGGTAGGGGTTGGTGGCTGGGGAATGGAGCCAGCAGGATATCAACGAACGACAAACAAAAGGGATATTCCATTCCCATCATTCAATAACCGACGCCAACTGATTATGTTTTTACTCCCATCACACTTGGCCAGAGGCCCAGAACACTCTGTTCATCTTTCCTTTCCTTTGCTTTCGTTTGTTCTTTCTTCTGCTCTAGGGCTTTTCACCACGTAAACAAAAGTGACCATGAATAAAAGAAGGAAAGCAAAAGATATCTATTAATTAATAACATTTTAACCTATATTTTGGCCAGATTATCAAAAGATTATCCATGGTTATAACTCTTACCATGCTCAAATCGGGTTGATTTGGGTCAAGATTGATTGAGCTTACGTAATTCATTTTGTTACCATATAGCTAGAGAACGAGTGCAACAAATATATCGGCATTTGATACTCTTATTATTATCATGACGAAATAATTTCTTTCTAGTTACAAGAATGATCATTTAAGACTAAGAGTATTAACAGGCGGTCTCGTTCAACTCTTAACCATTCTATGAATACACAATTTCAATCTTTTTACTCGAAGAGAATAATAAAATTCAACATAGATGTATGCAGTGGCGTAGCCAGACTTTGGATGGACTGGGGTCCTTAAAAAAATTTAATGCAAAACTATAAAAAAAAACATAATTTTCACATCGTGATTTCATATTCTGAGAATATTGTATAACACTACTCAGGGTCTACACTACTAAGTACATCCTTTTCTATATATTCTGAGAATATTGTACAACACACTCAGGGTCTTCTTTTCTTTTCACAACAACGTTTACATGGAAAAGAATGACCAACAGGTTGACAAGGACCTTTTAGAATGTAAGCTCTTCTTACTTCATCTTGGACATTAGGGTGGAAACTTGAGATTTTTTGTCTCAACCCAGGATAACCTTCTAAAGCATTAGCATCAAATTCCACAATTAATGCCTTCCCTCTCGAACTATCCATGTGTAAAAGTTTCCTTCCGTTCACCAATTTAATCCTCAACGAGGGAAAGCAACAAACGCGAATAGATAGAATTGCGGATTATATCTTAGTAAGAGAGAGCCGTGTCAATTTTGGGAAATTTTCAATTTAGGGCATTTGATTCCCAGCAAAGCATGAGCATAATTCCTTTGTTTGAGTGGCCAGTGAATCCCAAAGCTTTGGCGGTTGGGCGGCTGGTGTGAGCAGGTGGTGAAGAAGAGCCGGAGAAGACAAGAATGGATCAGCGGGCAGGCGGCAAAGGTTCCTCGTTGGCGGTAGAACTGGAGAGGATTGATATCGTAAACGTGGGGTAAGTTGTGTTCTGTATTTTCTTGTGAGAACGTGGAGAGAGGGAGAGATACTACTTTTCATATTGGGGTGGGAAAATATAGATTCTTGTAATTACTTTTAAAATTAAGAAAATGCTTTACAATTATATATTAGTCACTGGTGGCAGGTGGAGAGTACTTTAGAAGCATTGGGGTCCTATATTTATAACTCCATTTTGACAGCCGCATACAACCGGTATTTGGCCACAACTTTTGGGCCAAGTGGGGTCCTGGGACCCCAGTCCCAATGATCTCGCTCCGCCACTGGATGTATGTCGTGCATAGCGAACCCCACTAACCCTATAGCTTTTCTGTTCGTTTTCATCTGATCGTATATCTATTTGATCTTACCCGAAACGTTACGAGACGACACAAATATTTTCATTTTCTCGATCTCTACCCGGGTACCGGCCCGATCCATGATCCGTACCCGGCCCGATCCATGATCCGCCCCTACCTATGACCGGGACCATAAGCTAGGAGAAGAAAAGGAAAAGAACACAAAGGCCAAAAGAGATGGTGCAGAACGAAGGAGGCGACGAGAAGAAGATGAAGAATCTTGGAAAAAGGCAAGAGTTGGAGTCTTGTGTAACAAGAGACTGAAATTTACAGAAAGCGATGTGCCCTAGCTAGCTAGCTCTCGTCTTCATCATCATCATTGTTTCTACTTTCTTTTTACACAGTTTGCATGTAGCAGGGCCAGTGATCTCTCTTTGCCTGCCCTAATTCCCACCCCATGGGGGAAACCGATGCACTGAGAAGAAGAGCAGTCATCAGTCAGTAGTCATATATGACCATACCTTTTAGCTTTATCGACCTTTCTCATTTCCTCATGTTGCTGCCATCTTTATAACTAAGTGAGATAAGGTTCACCATCTGATCGACAACTCACGAGGTATTGGGACTAACTAGTTTGATCTCAACGAGTGTTGATTGCCGAAACGTGTATGCACATTCGGAACTTTGTAGACTGCGATGCACACCATTACATGCAATCGATGAATGCATTGTGATGTATACTAGCTAATAGCTATAGTGCATCCCCCAACACACACATTTAAGTTAATCTCTAGTACAGCTATAAGCAATATTGTGCAATGTGAAATCTATGTTGTAAAATTAGCTAGCTAGATAGAGAAAGAATCTTGGTTACCATCTTACCCACTTCATTAAAGTTAAAAGAAAAGGAAGGGGGAATTTCATTAGAAAATTGGAAAAATACAAAGCTGTAAATAGTGTAGCAGAAGAAGATTCCCCATGGGATATGAGACGTATAGAAAGAAAGAGAACAAAGAATAAGTGTTGCTTTACAAATTAAGCTCTCCTTTTCCTTTTTAAGGCGCTTAATTTTATTTTATTTTATTTAGAGTCACAGAATTGGAATATCAGATATTCTTTCTTAGAGGCAATATTTTTTTTCTCTCTTATTATCAGTGTCGTATTTGGATTAGATATTCCCTTTCCCCACTCTCTCATACACACAATAATATTCACTTGCAACTTTAGGAACTAAAAAGATAGGGTATAATGCATGCTACATGGAATTATGATGCTCACCATTTCTCGGTTTGTGAATGATGAATGTTAATTGATAAAGTTATATAAAAAAAATGAAAAATGTGTGAGAATCTCGACTTAAGTCTCACTATGTAAGATGGAGAATTAACATGGATGTAGCCCATAATTATACCACTATGTTCATAGTAAATTAGCATTAGTTAAACTCTTGTTATGATTATGAATAAGCACCACCACCACCTTCCTTGGTGCTCTAAGAATTTCGTTGTACCTACGGAACAATACTAATTCAATATCCAAGACAAGGTATATGCTAGTCCTTTCTTAAAAGAGAGGTTCTTTCTATCTCAAACGACAGCAAAGAACGGTAAGGAATTCAATAGTAGCAATATAGTACTTGCGTAGAATATATATGATTGGTTGGTTACTAAAGAGACAAACTACGACAATTCACAATAAGGACGAGCCCCAAGTACGATAGTAAGGTTGCTCACATGAATAGATACGATAGTCACCCATTTTATTACTAGAAGTGGGTTTTAGTTATGTTTCTCACATGAGTAGATACTATAGTCGGCCACCAGTAATATTCCGACGTACATATGCCTAAACTCACACAATCCGAAGAATCAAGCTAAGTCATGCATTGGAAACTTGGGGTCGTTTGGTTTTGGTGATACTTAAATCAATGTATTGTGATTAATGCATGCATTGTAATATACATGTAATTAAGGAAAATGATGTAATGTTCTATACATTGTTTGGTTTTGGTGATAGTTCTTTTAGTATTCAACATGTTATATTACTTTTTCTGAGAAAAATCACTTTGCCCTTGCTTTTATGAGAACATATATATATATAACTAGGGGAAAGCACTCAAAATCGAGATTTTACGTAAAATTGAAAATGGGGGTAAAATCAGAATCGTAGAATCGAATCGTAAAATCGTAGGATTTTAAGATCCATATAAAAATGAAGACGGAATAATATTAGTAAGAAAAATCATGAATAACATAAAAGCACATAACACTTAAAATGATAATTTTTCAAGGTTAATGTTCCAATTTATCAAGGTTAATGTTAAGAGGTGGTGAATCGATGATGATTAATACGTTGATGTGAATTGATTATAGCCGATGGTGGTTAGTGTGAGAGAACTAAATGATGTTGGTGGAGGAGAAGAAAAAGAGGCGTAATTTTGCAAATTCTGGGCAAAATAAGTAAAATTGACACAAAATATTTGAATCGTAAAATCGTAAGACTTTAAAGATTTAAATCGTGAATAGTGTAAGATTTTAAGTTCCCTAGGTTTTATAGTGAAATCAGAATCGGAATAGGTAAGTAAAATCGTAAAAGCGTATGATTTTAGGATTTAAATCGGGGTTTTGACTACTCTGACTAGGGGTATACTTGGAACAAAAAATGAACCCAACAATCTCCACAAAACTATCTCAACAATCTCAAATTTTAGTAGAGATAGTACTATCACTCATTTTGAATTATAGTTTCCATCACATCAAGCACACAATGCATGTATTGTTTGTGCAGAAAATTCAAAAAAATAATACATTATGGACAATACATGCATTGTAACTATCCCAAGCAAACAATCACCAAAACCAAACGGACTCCTTGGATTTTTTTTTTACTTATGACCATGTTAGGGATGGAGTTACGTGTAGTTCGAAAGGGGTTGCACGTTCTTGTTTGTATTTTATTTGAGGTTATAGTTTTTTTTTATAAAAGATAATCATATATTGATTGAAACCGAATAGGTAATTACACCCTGGAAAACAGCCAGGCCTGGAAATCAAAAGAACGACAAGTAGCCGGAGACAACGAAAGGGCCTTTCTAGCCACCACATGGGCTACCCTATTGCTAATCCGACCTACAAATCGAACACTAAACCCTGTATGAGAAGCAAAACAATGCACAACCTCCTCCAGGACCCCCCACACCGACTATCCCTTGTATCCGACCGATTTATCTTCTCGATGAGGACCTTGGCATACCCCTCAAACCGGACGTTCTGCATACCATGATTAATACACCAATAAAGCGCTTCCCTAAGGGATAGTAATTCCACAACCATTGGATCCTCAATACCCCGAAACTGCACCCCTTGGGCCTGCAGGATCGCCCGCTGAGGGTTATGCAGAACCATCCCCCCAGCCGAATGGGACCCTGCCCGAGTTGCCCCGTCCCACGAGCAGATAAAGCTAGTATCTGCACCCAGATTGACCGGAGGAGGAGAGGGCACAGGGCCTTGAACAACCAGATCCACAGGTAACCTCGCCCATTCCGCACATTGTTGGTGAACTTGACGCATCAAGGCCGGAAAGCCAAAATGTTTGCCCTAAAAAACAACCCAGTTCCTGGACTTCCAAATTCGCCAGAGGACAGCCACCACCAGCAGGAGAACATCAGGTTGCTGGATTAAAGCAAGCATTCGCTTAAGAAGGAGGGGGAAAGTATGGCGAGGCAATCCCTTCCCCAGGTACTCCAATCCTGCCAAATCCCAAAGCGCTCGAGCCACAGGGCATTCGAGAAACAAGTGCTCTAACGTTTCCGATTCACCCCAACAGATTGGGCACCGAGCCAACACTGGCACTTTCTTCCCAATTAGGGCCTCCGTAGTGTGTATCTGTATGTTGAGAAAATAATGAAAAAGTGTTAGGATGAAAAACTATTGTTAGCCGCTCTCGTGTGAGATTTAGATCCAATCCTAATAAGCTGGTATGATTTATGTAACCATCTTCATCCTTAATCATGCTTTCAACACATAACTTATATACCATTTTTTTATGACGAAAACTTGATACATACGTTGAAGATTTACCTCAACACCATGAATACCCGAATCCACGAGAACAAACCATCTATGGATACAAGTTACATTATCAATCGATGAAAAAAAAATATTTTATTTTTATTTTTAACCCAACTTCATTCTAAATCATGACTTCGTGCTATGACCTGTATACCCAGTTTCCTTATGACGAAAAACTTGATACATACGTTGAAGATTTACCTCTACGCCATGAATACCAAACAATTAATCTATGAGAACAAATTAAACCATCTATATGGGTACAATATATATGATCACTCTTAAGTGTGACCTAAAAAAAAATTTCCCAATACTCCTCCCTTTGTTCATTTTAGTTCCCCCCACACATTGGAGTGATAGAAAGCTAATTCCTTGGTCTCTTTTGAATGGTCTTTGTTTGTGTGAGAGAAGAAGGGCCATTTGAAGAATGTCACGTGGGCTTCAAAGCCATGCCATGCAAACGTAGACCAAGAGCATCCAATGCACACTACAACTTCAGTCACAGAAAACCAAAAACAAAAAAACCACAGCTCTTTTAACCTTACTTATGATCAACAAACAATCCTAAGACTGTAAAACACAGTAAAAAAAAAAAAAAAAGAGGTTGCAAAAGGGTAAAACAAAAGGGGACAGAGCACATGAAACCACCCTATCTTACACTGTCAGAGACCAGAAGCCTCTCAGCCAGCCAGCCTCTTTTCTCTGATTCCTTGTTTCAGAATTCAGAGAATAACCACCTTCTCTCTACCAAATTTCAGTTTTTGGCTTTTTGCCCTCCTTTTCTTTTCTCAACTTTGCTTCTTTTTTGCAAGAAGTTACCATCCCTCTTTATCCCCCTCCCTCCCTCCCTCTTGTGCCATCTCTTACACTCACCACCTTTAACTCCTTTCTTTTTCCCTTTCTCTCTATAAATTCCCACATAGCTACTTTATTCCCTTCTTGAACCTCCCCCTCTCCCTCCTCTGCCCTAACAAGCCACAAAAACCAAATCTTTTTGTTCTCTTTGCCCATTTCCCCCCCTATAGCTTCAAACTCCCCTCTCTCATTACCTTGTTGAACCAAAGATTTGTGACAATCTATATCAAATGGCATCTTCTTCTTCTTCTGAGCTGAGCTTGGATTGCAAACCCCACACCCATCATTCTTTGCTTCTGAGATGCTTCTCCTCCGACCAAATCATCACTCATCAGGATCATCATCATCAGAACCCACAAAAGCTGGAGGAATTCCTGTCCCGGCTCGAGGAAGAGAGGCTGAAGATCGACGCTTTCAAGAGAGAGCTCCCACTCTGCATGCAACTCCTCACCAATGGTAATAGCACTTGATCAAAAAAAAAAAGAAAAAGGAAAAAAAACCCACATCCCATTTCATTCATTTCAACATAAAGTTACAATCTTTGATGCCATTTCTTCTCCAAAATCATGTTCTCATCGCCATTTCATTCATTTCAACATAAAGTTACAATCTTTGATGCCAATTCTTCTCCAAAATCATGATCTCATCCTCCCCCGCAGCCATGGAGAGCTCAAGGCAGCAGCTTCAAGCATACAAAGGCAGCCACCACCAACATCACCAGCCAACAGTAGTTCTCGAGGAATTCATACCACTAAAAAACTCATCTTTACCACCACCACCCGAATCGGCTTCCTCGTTAGAGATCAAGGGATGTGGCAGCAACACCGACAACAAGGCGAATTGGATGACGACGGCTCAGCTATGGAGCCAAGAGACCAAGCCTCTGCCTCCACCAAAAGACAAAACCCGCGAAACCCATCATCATCATCAGACGACGATGATGATGATGGGGTTCAACGTTAGCCCGAAATTCGGACTGGATGAAGCTCCAACTCTGGCACTTGCTTCAGCCGTTGGATCAACAACAGAGGATGTTAACAACAATAACCATCATGATTATCGTCACGAGGATAGTGACAAAAGAGGTGGTAATCAACCTCCCGATCTACAAGCTGTCGGGGCAGTGGACAGTAACGTTAATGGATCGAATGGCGGCGACAACAACAACAACAACAATGGTGGTAGTGGTGGTCAGAATCATAGGAAGGCGAGGAGGTGTTGGTCGCCTGATTTGCACAGGAGATTTGTGAATGCGCTTCAAATGCTTGGTGGGTCTCAAGGTAGGCGACCAAAAGATTGTAACTTTGATGTTAATCGGTTAAGAAATTTCATAATTGGTTGATTTGGTTTCGTGCTAGATTGTGTATAGTAAATAGTAATGATTGCCCAATCTTTTTTTATTTATTTATTATTTCTTGTTATGAGTAGTTAATGACTAATTTTATTTTTTGGTTGTTGTGTAGTGGCGACTCCAAAGCAAATCAGGGAACTAATGAAGGTTGACGGTTTGACCAATGACGAAGTGAAAAGCCATCTCCAGGTACGAACAGCTGCAGAGGAAAAGAAGAACAGAGACCATTTCTGTTTTGTCGGTTTGTTTGGACCCAAAGAGATATCTTCTTCATAATGATCTTTGTCTTTTTTTGTTTTTGTTTTTTTTTTTGTCACAGAAATATAGGCTGCACACAAGGAGACCGAGCCCAAGCCCACAGGCGCCAGGTGGGCCAGGGCCGCAGCTCGTGGTCCTAGGCGGGATCTGGGTCCCACCGGAGTACGCTGCCGCCGCCGTTGCCGGACACGGCGGACACCCGACGCTCTACGGCGGCGCCACCGCGCACGCGCCTCCTCCCCACTTCTGCGCCGCCCGGGACTCCGCCGCACAGGACTACTACGTCGCCGCCGGTGGAATGCCGATTCCCCCTCCGCCGCACCACCACCACCACCACGCGGCGTTTCAGCAGCATCATCACCACCAGGTCCACGTGTACAAGACGACGTCGTCCCGGGGGCATAGCTCCGGCCCGGAGTCCGACGACCGAGCAGCCGCCGCGGGAGAGAGGTCGGAGAGCATCGAGGAGGATGGGAAGTCGGACAGCAGCAGCTGGAAGGCAGCGGAGAGCGGCGACAATATCGCCGCCGCCGGCGGCGGGAAAGGGCTGGCTGCGTTGAGGGAGAATGGAGATGAATGTGATCGGAGTGAAATCACTCTCAAATTTTAACCCAAACAGAAAATCGTTACATAATTCATTTCCTACTTTTTAGGGTTTAGGGTTTTTAATTTAGATGGAATTCGGAGTTCGTTGTGTAATCATCGCCTAACTTCCCATTTTAGTGCCTAAATATTGTTATTGTTTCACCTCCAGCCACCCAATTAATCGTTACATAATTCATTTCCTTCTAATGCCTCGATGTTGATGGACATATATGCCCCTTGTACATTCTGCAGCGTGGTCAGGAAGAGAGAAAAAGGAGAGGTTTTTAGTTCTAGTATGGATATGAAAGTTGCAGGCTTTTCTCATTACAGTGAAAGAGAGTACAGCAGATATGATTATGGTCAGGAAGATGACCATATCTGTAAATCTAAGCAGGTTGGTTTGTTTTGCTTTGTCTTCCCATTATGCCCTCCATCCAACCAAAGTTAAGAAAACAGGGTTCAGGTAAAGAAAGCCGAAAGCATCTGATGCAGTTAGTATTCTTTCCAACTTATTCTCTAAACCCTCTTTCTCTCCCACACACACAAGCTTTCGTAAAACCACTTTTTCTGCCTTTGTGCTCAAGTTTGATCCAAAGCAACTTGCTTTGAACAAAGTTTCAGATGGGAATTCACACTGTGCAAGTGCGACAGAGAAACTCTTTTCCATTACAAATTCTAGCAATCCCTACTTAGTACAAAGCAGATTCAACAACATCTCTCATAAAGTAGGGACAGCAGCAACATTGCATACATCTGCTGATAATAATGATAGCCATAGTTTTCTTCCCGTTTGCAGTGTGGACTTTCTTGCTCAGTTCCACCACAAACAGAGGATGTTGGGTAGTTTAAAACCGGAATCCATCTCAATACTCAACCTCCCCACCAGCATCACTTTCTATCAGTGTTGAGTCAACAAGAGTCTGCAAAGAAATAGCGAATTTAGTGCTGTGTAATTAGCAAAGACGGGAGAGCATAAGGGGTTTTCATACAGCGTACCTGAAGCTCATGTTCGGTGCTTTTAAGTCTTTCAGTATATTCCTTCATTTGCATGTAACACTTGTGGAGCTGCATACAATAGCCACATGAATGCAACCATCTACATAAGATCAATGATATAAGAGTTTCTCAAAGACAGCTGAGAACCTGTGGCTGTTACCTTGGCCAACTGTGCCTTCCGCTGGGATGTGCGCCTTTTGGCACCAACCAATGCATCTTCCAGTTTCTGAAATCATCAATTGATTCTAAGCACGGAAGCAAAAGGTGTGAAGTAGCTTAGTGAGTGAGGAAGTACCTTAGCTTTTCTCTGCAAGCCAGACACAAGTTCTTGTTTGTCTTCTAACCTTCCTTCCATTAAGGAAACCTGAAGGAATGATAGTTTCTTTTAGCAATCCCTTTGTTTTATAAAGAGAAGTAAATAGAAGGAAAGGGAAACGGAAACAAGAAATGCAACCAAACTCAACAGCAGAAGGATTGAAGTTCAGCAAATTGTTAGAGGTTCTAGCATGCTTTAAGCAATCAAATTCAGGACAGAAGCATAAGAAAGTTACAGAAACAGAACTCTTAAATTTGGTATGCAATTCTCTGTGGGTCATACAAATAACTTCAACAGTTCAACTGGCTTCACATTTCTAATCAAACAGTTGTAAGAGACAGCCAATGACTCTAACAATCTTATGGAAACTTACAGCAACGTCAAAGTAAATCATTCAAATTACGTCAACTGTGTGTCTGTGTCCATATAACAAATCACACGGTTCTGGAAAGACAACAAACTAGCCTCAACGAATTATTGTGATTTACTAATAAGTTAGAGAATAACCTCCTTTTTCAGATCATCATGTCTCTGGATTGATCTCTCAAGCTGTACTTTCAGCTAATTTCAACAAAAAGCAAACGATAAGAATTAGAAACCAAAATGCTTATTTTCCAAGTATGAACAGGTTGCAGATTGAGCATGGCCAATGCTTACCTCATCATCATCATAATCATCACCAAGCTCAGATGAAATATCCCTGGTAGACCTGTCGTTGTACGTTGAACTGCCAAAGAGCATGAAAGGTGAGCGTCACTATAACTATTTTCTCATGAGATGAATTCAACCAATATATTGTCAATAAAGGAGCATGTATGCACCACACAAGAATTGTTAAGCATTTATCAGGCAGAACTGTTCCAGTGTATTAACATTTGCAGGCCAGTATGATATTTGAAGCTCCACTGCTCTCTTTGTATTCAGCTTCCAACTTGTGTTTTTATTATCAGATTCATGCATAAGAGTATGAAGCTCCTCTATTCCTTTCCGGGGGAGAAAATCCTCTATATTGTAAGCTTCCATGAAAGATGCATGCTATTCTCATTATTCCAACAAGGGATGCATGCTGAAAGTCTGTAACGTAATACCAGAAAGAAACTCTTGAACGAAACCTAAGATGTCTAGTTTAAAACCAAGTGACCACAATACCCGCACTTCTTCCATTTCTCCAGAGTAACAGTAAATGGTCAAAATAAGACTAGTGATCTTACCCATTTGGCTTCCTTGAGAGCTGATCCTTGTCAACAATTCTATCATCATCATTGCTTCCATCCACCTCCCTGCCTATTGAACCTGAATCACGGCCTCTTTCCCAGTTCCACCCAACATCTCTACCAGGGTCTTGTTCAGATTCGACTCTGTCTTGGATTCGATCTCTATCCATGTATCCATCCCCAGAACGATCATGCTCATGCTCATGCATATGTTCATATTCTCTTTCTCTATCCCCCTCAGGACCCCAGGACCGATCATGTTCTCTTGACCTGTCACTGTATTGCTCATGATATCTGTCCCTATCATCAACATCATCATAATCCCTTTCTCGGTCTCTATTCCTTTCCCAATCCATTCTCCTCTCTACATCATGTCGGAATTGTTCCCTGCCAAAATTTGCTCTTCCTCTCGTCGTTACGCTGTTCACTCTCACCGGTCTTCCATCAATAGGCTATTCGCAAGACAGAAGTTCAAAATGTTCAAGCCAAGCTAAACAGTATCAACGCGACGACGACTGCTAAACAAAAAGAAAGAGGAAAGACGGTACCTTGCCATTCATATCATCAATAGCGCCAAACACTGATCTGGGATTCCTGAAAGTAACAAAGCCATAGCATTTCCCCCTTGTCGCACGGTCATTGATAATCTGCAGTCAAGGAAAACAGTCCCAATCTCAAATTCAAAACCCTACTCCTCCATTTCATCAAGCCGATGAGAGAAAAAGCCAGTTCTGGGGGAAAAAACTGCTCCCCCAAACACCGTTCATCGTCACTACTCTAGCAACAATGATAGTCAGTTAAACCCTAAGCAGCAACGAGACATCTTGCTCTACAACTTAACTCCAAACAAACTTTACCCGTCTCCCTGATAAAATTCCTTTCATACAGTAACAAAAGGCGAATAATTAATGGGGCAGTACAAATTCTCTGGGGGATAGAATCGGAAAGAGGTAGCAGAGGGAGAAGACCTTGACGGCGACGATGGCGCCGTAGAAACTGAAGACCCTGCGAAGGGTCTCTTCGGTGGCGCTGTAAGGAAGCCCTCCGACGTATATGGAGTTGACGTCGTCCACCGTCATCGTACCGGAATGTCTCGGCCCGAATTGGGGCTGCTGCCGCACGGGTTCGCCGGAAACCTTCCGCCGGTAGCGGGGGCGGTCGTCCGCAGCTCCTCCTCTTCTAGTAGCCAGTGGAACGAGTTTTGCTTTTTTTTCTGGACACCAATTTGTCCTTCGCAGTCCAGTTCACAACTCGATCGAAGTAATGAAGTAAAATTGGGCCCGCGTGGGATTCCCCGTTCCCGGGTCGGCCCATTTCCAACTGGGCTTAAATGTATCGAAGCCCATTATGAACCGAATCGAGGGTCATGAATCATGATTCACATCCTAACTTCTAAAAGAATATGGTTTAAGCAGAAACTGATCATTAGAGAAGTTGACCAGATGACAGGTAACAGTAATGGCGTTGTTTTCGGACTTTCCGAGGTCGGATCATGAGACAAAAAACGAATGACAGGTTGTCGATTGTTCCAATGATGGAGGAAGCCAGCTGCAAGTTGGAAGTTGGGCTTCCACTAAAGGCTGGTGTTGATATGACTTGAATCGGATTATCAGCCGCTACGACTGGTAACCGGGGGTCTCGCTGGGCTCAATGTTATTTGGGTTCAGGTTCTGGGCCTGGTCTGTAACCGTTTCCTTTGCTAGATTGGATTAGGTTTAGACCCACATGGAGAAGTACTATAAATACTTCTCATACTCCTCTGTAATCTGTAATCTCCTCGATATAGTGAAATCGGCTCTCTCTCGCCCGTGGACGTAGCTAACACACATCGTGTTAGTGAACCACGTAAATCGTGTGTCGTGTTTTCGATTCTCGCTTTCGTATTCTTGCTTTGTCGATCCCGGCGGTTTCCCGATCCGTAGCAGCGCGTTTATAACAAGTGGTATCAGAGCCGCGGCTGGAAATCAGGCTAGGGTTTTCGATTCAGAAGAATGACGTCGGTGAACATGAAGATCGAAAAGTTCACGGGGAAGAACAGCTTTGCTATATGGCAGATCAAGATGCAGGCTTTACTAAAACAGCAAGGGCTGTGGGGGCCGCTGTCTGCGAAACAGAAGAAGGCAGCGGTCGATGACGATGAGTGGAATACCCTGGAGGAGAAGGCCCACTCGACCATCATGCTATCGTTGTCTGATGACGTCATCATTGAAGTCGCTGCTGAGAAGACTGCCGCGGGCTTGTGGTTGAAACTAGAGAGTCTGTACATGACTAAGTCTCTAACCAACAAGCTGCATCTCAAGCAACGGTTGTTCAGCTTGAGGATGCAAGAAGGTACGCCTTTGAGGGAACATCTCGAACAGCTTAACTCTATTTTGCTGGATCTGCGTAATATAGATGTTCAAGTTGATGATGAGGATGCTGCCCTAATCCTGCTGGTTTCTTTGCCGAGTTCATATGAGAATTTTGTTGATTCTTTTATTGCTGGTAAAGAAAGCGTGTCGTTGGAGGATGTCAGGTCTGCTCTTCATACGAGAGAGATCAGACATAAGGCGTCCGGATCTGGTACAGGTGGTGAGGCATCGGGTTTGGCTGTTACAGGTGGAAAGGGAAAGAAGAAATCTGGTAAAGGGAATTCGAGCAAGAATTCCAAGGGTCCCGGT